TTATTCTCAAGCAATTCTTTCCCCATCTATTCGCCAAGCTTTTCTCTCACAACTTCACTGACTCATCGCCATGGCTTACTCATAGCTCCCTGCTTATTCACTGCCTCTCACTGCCTCTCCCTGTGCATCTGTCCAACTTCTGCTCCCTCCACTAACCTCCTGATGCTCCCTGACTTTCCAGATGAAATTCTAGAGGCAGAGAATCTCATTGGGTTAGCCCATTCCTCATTTAGGAAGAAAGTTTGGACCTTTGACTTTGTTCATGGACATATGTCCATGCTGATCCAATCAGCTATAGCATAGGCACAAAGCATGGAAATCTACATATATAGACCTATTATTTCACTCAGTAGAGGCATGTGGATGCAACAATGGCCTTAAATGACCTGTTGACCAAAGCCTAAGGTCCAGGCTGAGTTAATTCATACTTTAGGGAAACACTGAAGCTTCTAAGAAGAGCAGTGATCAACCAGATCTATGTTTTCAGAAGATTGTTTTGCTGCCCCTATGAATGAGGCAGTTTATGATGGAAGAGGATGGTACATGCAAGACAAGTCAGAAAGCCATGGACTGGGAGAGCCGATGAAGCCTCAAACCAAGCCAGTGGCAGAGTGAAAAGGAGAGTATGAGCAAGTGTGTCTTGAACCTGAAGATGTCCACCAGGGACATGAGGCTGGAGTTCAGCAGAAAGGCTGGGTCTAGACACCTAGGTCTGGAAGTCATAAAGATATTAGTTAAAGTTGTTGGGTGCATAGTTTGGCAAGAGATAAGCCCAGACAGACATCTGGGGAACTCTTAGATGTAAAGAGCAGATCAAAGAAGAAAAACTTGACAAATGTTCTAAATTAGAAATATTTATACAGATGAGTAGGCACTCAGAGAGTCAGAGCACCTGGTAAAAATAAGAAAGGATTTCCCCCCCCTTATCTCTTACACTCAAAGGTACAGGTTCAGAGGATCTTGCATTAAATCCTGCTCTATTCCAAACCACAAGCTTCTAGTCTGTTTTCCTGCAGAAAGTACTGATACTTATTGGGAATCCTCAATATTCTAAAAATACATCAGCTGGGCTGCAGTGCCACAATTAGTGGAGCTGCTGTCCCATGAAACCCTCATCACCATTTTGCTTAGATCAGAGAGCGGATTAACTTTGATGTCTGTCTGAAACTCATGCAAGACACCACTGGTGGTCTGCTCCCTGCAAGCATTCAATCTTCACATCCAAGGGAAGAAGGAGAACATGCTGGAAAGGAGCCCAAAGCAATTTTTTTCTCAGTGATGGAGATGAAAATATGCACCCTGGGACTCCTGACATATTTGACTTGCATTCTGTCCCCTTATGTCCCTGAGCTATTTCTCCCTTTGCACAAATACCTTCTTCCAGACCCAGACTCCCTTCGGCTTTCACAAACATTAGCACAGCTATGAAACCCCAAGCCCTTTGTCTATGCCATGTGGAAATTTCTGTTATCTATTAGGGCTCCTGGTGTATGCAACCAGAACTGTCTCTAACCTAAATCCATGGGGAGTTTACTGGAAGCATATGTGGTAGCCTGCAGAATAAAATGAACAGTCGAGAATCAGACTACAAGGGGGAATGATGAAAGATCCAGGGTTATGGGCCAGTGGGAGATATGCAAAAATCTCATCGGAATGTTAGCAATGAAAGAAATCTGCAACTATATTGTCTGTCCTGTGTCACCACCTTCACAATTCTTATTTCTAGGCAAAAAAGAACAATTGGACCAGTGGAACTGTACCCGCACTCAGATGACATGAGCTCATTGACTTTGCAAGGCAGTGTAGACTGATGGAAAGAGCAGGTCTCTGGAGCCAAACAGCCTGGAGTTGTATCCTGGCTCTGCCACTTACTAGCTACGTGCCCTTAAGCTAGTCGATTCTTGCTGTGCCCCAGCTTCCCCCTCTGCAGATGGGGATATCTATTCATGGTGGTTGGTGAGTAGTGAATGGGTAAACCTGTGCTAGCGATTGGCACAGGGGGAGTGTCCTACAGACTTGATATTAGTATTGATGGGAATGCACAGGGCCCCTGGATTTATAGTGCAACAAAGAAAGCCAAGATGAGAGGTCATCTTCTGAAAGGAATTGGGAGCTATTATTAGGGGAGGCTCAGTGGCCAAAAAGCAATTACTATTCATTGCCACATCTCCATCAGACTGTAGACGCCATGAGGACAACAGACTCTTCTATTAATTAATTCACTGCTGCATCCACCAGCATCTGAAAAGTGCTTGGCACATGGTGCGTGGCTCAGTGAACCTTTGTTGAATAATGAACAAATGTTGAGTGCTTCCCAATCAATTAGTTCAGTGCCTTGCCCAGAGTAGGCACATGATGTGTGTTTGTTAATTGAATTTATAGGTAAGTGGAATTCTCAGAAATGAGAATACTGGAATCAAAGAGTAGGACTTGGTGGCAAGAAAATGTTAAGTAACTAGTTTTTGGTGTGATGATGCTAATAAGCTATACAAATGACATAGGTGGCCCATGCCATTTATACAGATTATTGTAATTGTATATAGTATAGCTGCTGGTCAGGATAAAACCTTTAAGTCAACATGAAGGGACAGTGAAACAAACAGTTCTTTGCCACATCACTTTGGAGAGACAGGTGGCTCATCTGCCCCACATTGGTCCTCTCCCTACCTTTGAGGCACTGCTGGTCCCTCACCAGGACATCCCATTCTTCTGGCGCTCTCCACACTGGCTTTCAGAGGCTCTGAGGGTGGGGCTCAGCCAGCAATCCCTCCAAGCTTGCTCATGGAGACAGCAAGATGTCATGGAGGAGCACATCAGATTAGGAATCATGAGAGCTAAACCCCGGTCCTGGCTCCGCCAATGGTGTGTGAACTTAACTTCCGGTCTCTGGCTTTCAGCAATATGGTCTATAAAACAGAGTAATCTTTGACTTAAAGCTCATGGAACTATTAAGCAAATGAAATTACACTCATGATGATTTCATCTGGAACTCCTTCTGTTGTAAAAGACAGAACCCAACTCAAACTGGCTTTCGTAAAGAAGGGACTTTATTGGCTCATGTTACTGAGAAATCTTAGGGTAGATCCCATTTTAAGCACAACTGTCTTCAAGAACTCGAATGTAACATCAGCACCTGATTTCTATCTCTCAGCTCTCCTTCTGCTGTACTGTCCTCATTCTCAGCCTCTTAATGATGGTCCCCATCAGCTCAGGAGTTTTGTCCTCTCAAATTCAAACCCAGCTTTCCGGTAGCTGGGACAGACTATGGTTCATTCAACGTGGGTCATGTAGCCAGGAGGGTGCAGCTACATTGAATGATCAGGCCTGGGGCCTGTGCCAATAAACCCTGGTAATGAGGGAGCTTGATCAGGCTTGGTTATACGGTTAACTCTCAGAGCTGGAAAAAAGTAAGGATTGTGGTATGGGGAGAAGCCCCAGTTTACCTCATGGATTGAGAATGGGAGAAGAATGGTTTGCCAAAAGATATGCAGGATACTATTAACAGAAAGAGATGTGGATGCTGCTAAAATGACATATGTGCGTTACACTAGGGGATTTTTATGTCATGTGATTTAAAGCATGTATCATTTCATTCTCTCTTTGCTATGAAGTCTTCTGTCCTCACCCTAATAAGCTCCTGCAAGCCCCTGAGGAGCAGCTGCCTCACCCTACTGTCATCTGTCTTCCTCCTCTGAACTTCTGTTGCCTGCAGGACCAAATCACTCAACGACAACATCAAGTCATCAGCTATCTTTTTATGTCTATGTCCTGTCTCTTCATCCATGTGGCAGAATCCTGGAGAGCAAGGGTCATGTCTTATTCATCTTTGTGTCCCCTGTAGCACTTTGCCTTGTGTTTGGGGCATGGATGATAGTTCATAAATCTGCTGACAGATCAAACACCTGATTTATATGCTTCCAGAACCACGGGGGTAGAGAGTAACTTGATCCAACTACAAAATTAAAATGAAAGAGAAAACCTGTGCTCTTCCTACCATTTCTGAAACATCTCTTGTGGACTAAATAATGCTGATGAGGTCAAGACGAATATCCTCTTTGCTCCTCAGCCCCCAGTTGCTGGTATTCTCGTTCGAAAAGGATTAAGTGAAGAAGGCCCAAGAACTCTTAGTCTCAGCTGCCTTGTATACCCTGGGCAGGTCATATGCAGGGACAGCCCACCTGGAAGGATGGAGGATGGCAGTCGTTGGAAGAGGAAGCAGATGTCTGTCCTCAGTGGTCTTCCACCCCAGGCAATAAAGCAGAACCCCAAGCTCCCATTAGTGGGACTTGCCATTGGCTCTCTGCCCTGCGTTGATCCTTTTACTCCCCTACTCTCATTCCTAAGCCCAGCAAAGGGAACAGGGAGAGAGGAGGGATGGAAAAATTCAGTCAGAAACGGTCTTCTTGTAGCTTGGATGTTCAAACAGTATTCCTCCCAGACTAGTTTTGGTCCAGAAGCCTCTGTGGCTCGGGTTTCAGAAACCCCTCTGCAGGCCATCCTGGGCCAGGCGATTTACTCCTTTGTCTCTAATCCCCACTACCTCTGGGGAAGCTAAGCGGCTTGTCTAAAGCAGGGCATCTGAGCTAGCTGGGATTCCTTCACCTATAAAATGGGCCGACTAACGTGACGATTAAATCAGCGAGCCGCAGAGAGCATCCTGCTCGTGGTAGACAGTTGCTAAAATCAAATCAATGGGGAAAGAATGGAAAGGCTTGATTGGTAAAAGGAGCGGCAAAAGAGGTCAGAAGAGTCGTGGATGGAGCAGCTGAGGTGAGAGCCAGGCAGAGAGCAGGGCACGGAGTGAAACAGGATCCGCGGACCCCAGCGCAACAAAAGCTCGGCTCTGGAACCGCGAGCGCGCGCAAGGGGGGCTGTGGTGGGGGCCCGAGGCCCCGCCCCCATCCCGCGCAGCCCCGCCCCCAGCCCTGGTTCCACCTTTTCCGCAGTCCCGGCCACTGACTCCGCCCCTCCGCCTTTTAGCCCCGCCCCCAAGGCCCGGAAGCAAAAACCACTCCGCCTTTTCCCAGCGAGGTCAGGGCCCTGTCCGCGCGATCCTGGATTCAGAGAGTGCGGGACTCTCGGCGGGCCAGGGCAATCCCTGGCGGGCACCATGTCCCGGAACCTGCGGACCACGCTCATTTTTGGCGGCTTCATCTCCCTGATCGGCGCCGCCTTCTACCCCATCTACTTCCGGCCCCTAATGCGGCCGGAGGAGTACCGTGAGTGACCTCTGACCCAGCGTGGTGATCTAGCCCCAGTAACTCCCCACCCCCAATCATTTCCACGTGGGGACACGGAAAGATCTCGGGAGTCAGGCTGACCTGGGTTCGAATTCAGATTCTCTGCTGTATGTAGCTTTGTGACCGTGGACAAGTGACTCAATCTCTTGGACCCTCAGCATCCTCATCTATAAATAACTATTTCTCTCATATCTAAAATAAAACCATCTAGCCTCCCGTGAGAATCAAAGGTAGTAATGAAAACAGCCTGCATATAGTATGTCGACAGTAAATACTAATTCATACTTAGAGTTAACATTCACAGAACGCTTATCATGTGTCAGGTTAGGCACACATTGGATTGTTTAATTTCTACAATCTCACTTTGAGATAGGTATTACCGGTTTTACAGGCGAGGAAACTGAGGCTCAGGGGGGTTGTATAACATACCCAAGGTCACACAGCTGGTGAGTGGCAAGGCAAATATTCCAACCCAGGCGTCTGTGTCCCGAGCTTCCACACACTGAAGCTGGTAATGGTGACGTTTGGGATAGGCAGATAGAACCCTAATCACCCTGAACTTGAAGGTGTTTTTATTGGTATCTTCATTTCCACTCCCAGAGACGTCTGTGGGTGGAAATGTTTCAACCCTAAACTGTTAACTTGAGTTTTGAGTTTTTCCTCTCTTTTCTCAAATCTTTTTTCGGATTTCTGCTGTCTTCATTTTAAGCTGGTTGCTCACATGACAATGGTGAATACCCTGGGAGTAATTTTCCTTCTTAATCATTCAAGTCCTATCATTCTGAAAGCCAAATTTCCTTCCCTTCCTCGAGACCTATACCTCAGCAAGGATTAGCACTTTGATACATCTGAAACCATCTGTCAGGGAGAAAATATTAGGCATTAGAGGCTCATTTTGTTCTCCAGGAAACTTGAATCATCTCGAAGATGGAAGAGGGCCAACCCTGCCCCTTGAGAATATTAGCAGAGGCTGAAAGCTTGGCGATTTGAAGGGGAAAGCTCTGTGTAAATGCTTCTGCCCATTACAAATGCTACAACATTCGGTTTCTGGAGGCAGAGCGTTTTAAATACACATTCAGATTTCCTTGTAACTACTTTTTATCAGCCAAGATTGAAATGGCCTCTGTGCATTCTGCTTTCCAGCCTATGCACTATGCATGGGGAGTAAATAGGGCAGTATGAAGCCCTGCATAACCTTATCTCCATCATCTTTCCTTATTGGATCCCTGCCCCTGGCTATATTATGATGGCCTCTAGAAAGGGTTTTGTTTTGGATCCCACAAGAAAAATTTCAAAGACTAGAGCAATGGCTCTCAACGGGAGATGATTTTGTCCCCCAGGTGACATTTAGTTCTATCTGGAGATATTTTTGCTTGTAAGAACTGGGAGTGGGGTGGGGTAAGTGGTATATATTACTGGCATCTAGTGGATAGAGGTCAGGGATGCTGTTAAACTTTCCACAAGCACAGGACAGCCCCTACCCTCCCATGACAAAGAATTACCCAGCCCAAAATGTGAATGGATGGTGGCAAGGTTAAGAAATCCTGATCTAAATCAGATGATCAGGTTTGATCAGATGTGGGTTTGTGCCTGTATCCCAACAGCAGTCTTATGGGGAGTCTCTAGAATCTATGTTGTCTGAGTGGCTTGAGACAGACAAATCAGGTGAACATTTAGTGAGTATGGTCACAATATTTGTGTTTTAACTGCAAGGTGATCTATGCCTGCCTACTTTTCTGGTTCAGTTTTAATTGCTTTAGCCAACTCTTGTCTGAGAGTCATAACTGATTTCTTTATACAGAGAAATAATACTAAACAGCTAATATTTATTGGAAGTTTATTATCTCTGGCACTCTTCCAAGCATTTCATATATATTAACCCATTTAGTTCTCATAACAGCCCTTTGAGGTAGCTGCTATGTGGGCATCACCCCCATTTTATATGTGGACAAACTGAGGTATGGAACAGTTAAGTAACTTACATAGGACGAATCACAGATCTGGGATTTGAACCAGTGCCCTTAACTGCTACACCATGGCACCATACTGCCTTTCTGTAGGAGTGAGAAAAGAGAGTAAGGCAGATGGGGGCCTAGTAGATGAGGACCTTAAGCTAAGTACTTAACCTCACTGAGCTCAGACCGTTTCCTCGTCTGTAGTGGTGAAGTTTATAGGACCGAATTTACAGGTTTTGGGTTATATTTAGTGAGAGAACACATGCGGAAATACTTAGTATCGTCTTATATTAGGCATTCCATAAAAACATTTTTAAAAATAAGGAGCTACAAGGGCAGAGCTGTGAGACAAGGTGTTTTGGGCAGGTGGACAGACCTAGGGCTGCTTGGCATGGCAGGAAACGGGGTCCAGGCAGGTGAGGTGTTCATGACTGTGGGAGACAGCTGGGAGGATGGAGCGCCAGTTAATTTCAGCACCTTCAACTAGCACTTATTTAGCTTCTTTTTTTTATTTTTTTTTAAACCTGGATTTTAGTAGTTACCATATACCTGGCACTGTGTCAGGTGATGGGTATACATGACAGACCAGACAAGACACAGCATGTCTCTTCACCTCACTTCATCTTTGTCCAGTCCACTTCCCCTGCCCACTCCTTGGACACAAGCTGGTCTCCATGCTTCCACCAGGCCCCAGCAACTACCCATTCTCTACCAGCAGCCGTGGTGGTCTTTCTGGTTACTTTTTATTGCGCATTTCTACCGCGTTTGTGTCTGTAGTCAAAGAATGTGGACTATATGATTTTGATTCTTTGATATTGGTGAAGGTTTCCTTTGTGGCTTAGTACAAATCAATTTTTGCAAATGTTTTCTATGTGATTGGAATGATATGTATTCTCTGGTTGTTGGGTACAGATTCTATATATGTTGATTACAGATTAAGCTTCTTAATTCTGTTATTTAAATATCTTGAGACCATGTTATTAGGTGCACACAATCTAGAATATTCTGGAGAATTGTTTCTAATTATCATTATATAGGGGTCTTCTTTGTCCCAAATATTCTTCCCCCAGTCTATTTTATCTGATATTATTATACTTACCAACTTTCTTTTGGTTAGTATTTTCCTGGTTAGTATTTTCCAGCCTTTATTGTCCTTAAGCCTCATAACCAGACTAAGCTGGATTTTTTAATCTTATCATTTCTTTTAACTTTTAGATTGAATTCATTTTCATTTATTATGATTACTGATATATTTACATTTGTTTTTCTCCATCTTATTTTGTCTTTCTTATTTATTATTCTATTTTTGTACTTCCTTTTTTTTGTCTCCTTTTCTGCCTTTAAGGCTTCTTTTTCTCCTTCTCTACCACATAGTTTGAAAGTTTTACATTTTATTTATTATTTTATGATTATTGTTTAAAGTTACTCAATATCTTTACCCTCCTCTGAAATATACAAAGCCCTTCGAATGCTTTAGTCCTGTCCCACAGGTGTTATGTATAACTTCAGTCCTATCTTGTGTTTATTACTCCCTGAATCACAGTGTTTCATATAGTCATCGATTGTTTCTTTACCCACATTCTTTACTCAGCAGTCCTTGTATCTCATTCCTTTTTAGTTTCAGTTTTCTTCATTCTGAAATACATCTGTTAATATTTTCTTTGGTGAGAATTTGTAACTGGGAAAATTTATTCTTTTTGTCAGAAAATATATAGAACTCCAGGTCTTCTGTGGTCATTGAAAAGTCTATTGTCATGCCATTTGTTCTTTGAATTTGATCATCTCGCTTGATTAAAATACTTCAATAGCCCTCTGCTCTCCTCACAGTCCAGCTGGTGCAGGATCATTGAGGTGTTTTAATCCAGAGAACGAGGTGATGAGATTCACTCTTTATAGGCGTCTCTATGTAATGTGAAGGAGATGCTGGAAGGGTCAAGGCTGAAGGCAAGAAGGCCAGGTTCAAGAAAACTGTACTTCCTGTGGCCACAAGAGATAGGGAGAGGTGACTAGCCTGAACCAGAGTGACGTTTATGGGACTGAGGAGTAGAGAGTAAGGACTGGGGGGTAGGGAGTAAGGTTATGTAACTGGGGAGTAGGAAGAGGTGACTATAGCCTGAAGCAGAATGGTAGTATGGGACTGGGAAGATGTATTGAATTTGGGAGGTGTTTAAGAAGTAAATTCTACAGGGATTTGTGACTGATTAGCTACAGGGTGAGAGAGGGAAAGGAAGGAGAATGGCACTCAACTCCCTGGCTCCAGCAGCCGAGGAGATGGTGATGCTGGTCATTTACTAAGAAGCATAAGAAGGAATTGGTTTTGGGGGTGGGAGGATGAACTAGTTCACTTTGGGATGTGTTAGCTTTTAGGTATCAGGATGTGCTCTTGGAGATTTCCCATAGGCAATGGGATATGCCAGTTTGGAGCTGAGATCTTTGATCTGAGCGGGAGCCAGAGATGCACTGTCATCAGCATTGGATGGGAATCAGTGTCATTGGAGGTAAGGGTTCCCAGGCAGCATTCAGCGATTGAAAGAGACAAACTGGCCTAGGACCAAAATGCTGGTGAACACTGTTTGAAGAGCAAGCAGTCAGGAGAAAAGGGGCCCTCAGAGGAGACGGAGAAGGGGTGGCCAGAGCAAGAGGATTAAAAACAGAAGAGGCTGTAGTCACGAGCCCCACGAAGACAACTCTTCATGAAAAGGGATGTGGTCAGCAGGGTTAGGCTTCTTGGAGAGAGGAAGATAAGAAATGAAAATATCCATTAGATTGATCCAAAAAGTAAATGTGATAGGCCATTTTGTTAAGAACACTTTTGGCAGTTTCGTAGTAGGCAGAAAGCAGATTGCTGTGGATCAAAATGTAAATAGTGTATTATAGTGACTAAAGGTGTTTGGCTGTATGGGGAGGAGAATGACCATGTATTTGCAGCAGGTCAAAGGGTCTAGGGGAAGTTTTGTTTTAGTTTTGGCTGGGAGAGATGGGAGAGCAAGAGAGTCTCTCAACAGAAAAGATGCCAGAGAGAGAAGACAATCCATGGAGTGGGAGGTGGTGTGGGACCTTGAGATCACATGGAGAAGGGAGCCTTGGACAGAAGTCAGGACACCTTCCGCCGGTTCAGGAGGAACGGTGGGTACGGATGTAGCTGCATTAGGTTGGATGTTGGGAAGTTGTGGGCGCTTCCAGGTGATGACTTCTGTTCTCTTTGTAATGCATGAGGTCAGGTCATCTACGAGTGAGAGGCACGACCACTGGCCAGCCTCTCCCTCCCTGAAGCCCTCTCTTCTCTGGCCTTCTGTGACCACCCTCTCTGCCAGTCCTAGCGATGCTTTTTTGCTCCTGCCTTTAGTCACTTCTCTTAGTCTCTCGTTGGGTCACCCTCTTCTGACCATCCCTCATACATTTGTATTGCCCAAGATTCTGGGGAGACCTAGGAGAAGCCCACAATTCTTGCAGGGGCGGGGCTAGAGTCATCGTGGGCCATTCAGCTGGGCCAGCCTGACTGATGCTAGTCAGCCTGGTGTCCGGAGTATGGGGACGGGTAGGTTCTAGGACCTCTGCTGGAATAAGTCACAAAGCAGCAGAAAAGAGGAGGAAGGCTGTTTTGGTAAAATAAAGCCAAGGAGATCTTCCATGCTTTAAAAGCAAGCAAGCTACTATCACAAGACTGCCTGATTGGATTTCATGTTGACATTCAGTGTGATCTTCAGCTCTTTCACTAACTCAGCCAGAATTACTCAGCCTTATATAAGGTCAGTGCTACACGTGATATACCTTGCTGCTGAAATGAGCACTGGGGAGATGGCAATTGGCATTGGTGATCAGTGATCCCAAACCAGAAGTATGGGGACCATTGCGCTTCTGGAGGGAATCCCAGAAGTTGCTTTTAGCCCTCACCCTGTTGGCACAGCGTGGCTTGTCTGAAGAGCCGGCATTCAGGGATGAGTACAGATGCTGTAACTTGAAGCCTAATCTGTCTTTATATCTTAGAGCTAGACAGTGATCCTGAATATGGGTTTTAAAAAACAACATGCATTTTAGGCCAACCCGTGAATTGAGACTGAATAAAAGATCATTTTCTGTGATCCTGTTCATTTTTAACTTTAATTACATGTGCAGAAGCATAAAAATCATAGTTTTGCCAGAAACCCTGTGCTCATTAAGTCCTCTCATTTAGGTGACTTGTCCAAGGCCATTTATCATGTTAATTGCTGGGTGGACACTAGACCCCAAGGTAGACTCCCTACCTTGTCTGCTGCTTCATGATACCCTCCCTCACCTGGTAGCAAAGAGTATTTAATAGCAAAATGAAACGTCACATGGAAGGGCTGTGAGAACCTCAGTCCTGCCTCTCAGTTGTGTCTTTTGCTGCACCTTGCTGCTCCCAACTAAAAGTACATTGTACAGAGTCAGAATAGAGTCACAAGAAATCACTTGATGTGGAAATGATTCTTACCAGAAGGACAGTTCCCCTGTTAAATGCCAGGTGCTTAGAATATGCTTTTTATTCCTTTCACTATGGAGTCAGATGAGATGCACAGATAGACTAAAGTCATTTTCTAATGGATTCAATTAGACTCTCTGGTGAGGTAACAAGTGTTAGGATTGGGCGGAGCCAAATGCATCCAGTGGCCATTTGGTCCCCTCAACCCCTGGTTCATACTTAGCTTTTTTTCTGAAAGAATGTAAATCTTTTGTATTCCACAGCAATCTTCCCCTGAAATAAATCTTATACTTTTTAAATTAAAAAAAAAAAAATACCGGGACGTATTTTTTAAATTTTTTATATTTTAAAATTTGCTACTTTGAAAAAGCTGCTTTGAAATAATCATCATGGAACAGTCACAGTGTTGTTGGTCTTCCTTATACTTGTTTTTGCAGTTGTGTGTTTTTGTTATTAGAAAAAAGAAAAAACAAACCAACAGAAAAGACCTAAGAATTGTGCAATAAATCCTTGTATATCCTTCACCTAGATTTACCAGTTAACATTTTGCTTCATTTGCTTACTCCCCCATGTGTAAAATATAACATATCTATACATACATACATACATGATTATGTATGTATAATAGAATTATTACTATTATTTTGCTGGACATTTGAGAGTAAGGTGAAGACATTGTGAGCTTTCATTCCTGAGCACTTCAGCCTGTATTTTCTGAGAACAAGAACATTCTCTTACATAATCGCAATCCAGTTATCCAATCCAGGAAATTTAACATTGAAACAATGCTGTTATCTAATATATAGTCTGTATTTAAGTGTTGCTATTTGTCCAGTTACTTAGATTGTGAATCGCTTTTATTTTAACTGTTGGCAGGAGGAGATAGGGGTAGGAGTCCTTAAGTCATATTTTACACCTGGACAATATGGACATTAAATATAAAGATATGTTTTCCTTTTCAAAGCCTTAATAATATTAGGTGGATTATTTCACTACCATACAAAAAATCTGCCGGTCTGTATGCATAACGGTTAATAATATACCTTGGCCCTTTGACTAGAGATAAAGATCCTCAATTAAAACTACAAATCAAACCACCGCCTCAGCACCAGGGGGCAGAGTCGGGCTTGCTGAGACGATGAATGGGGACTATTCTAACCTGCATTGCAAAGCTCCAGGCCAGTGTTGCATATTTGCATTTTAATCCTTTTACTCCTGATAGAAACATGCTCACTACTGAAAAGTCAATAATTAGCTCACCCTGATTTGTTCATAGTTAAACTCCTGACTTCTGCATTGTCCTTTTCCTGATGTTTATAGACATTTGCTATTTCCCTAATGATAACAAAATAGAAATCTAACTGTCAGCCTCATCAAGATGCACTTGCTACATCCTGAGAGACCAGTTTGTTTTCCTTTTAGCATATTCCACATTCACAAATAGTGTCTTTGTGTCATATCATGAATTTATATAAGACTGTTTTGGCCTTAGAATATTTATAAAACATTAATGGATTAAAGAACCAGGGGATGTAGATAGGATACTAATACCGGTTATCACTTGGTAGGAACTGGTTCAACAAATCAGTTTAAATTGCCTGTCCAAGCCAAAAAAAAAAAAAGTAGTTGCATAAGGACAGGGATTATAAAGAGATTATGGTCTATTTAAAATAAATCCTCAGCCTCTCTCCAACCTCATTAGCAATTAGCAAGAAAGTGTGAAGACGGGGATTCCTTTCTCTTCGCTTGGTTCTCCATTGCATTATAAGGGGTTCAAACACAATCAGACATTTGGTCTCACAAAAGTCAACTTCCTTTGATGTTTGGCAGCCTGCCAGCTTCTTTGGCTTTGCAGTACCTGCCTCTCAGAGAATGTGTTCTAGATACCAGGATGTCTGATTTTCTTAAATCTGTGGGTCTGAAATGCTGTCTGACCATCGGTTGTTTTTTAAAAACTCGTCTCTTCCGTAATACTGGAGAATGCACCTTTTAGGTGTGAGAAATTATATCTTTTGTTCCCAGCACGATCAATGACTGTGCAATCTTTTAATAACTGGCATTTTCTAAGAGCATGTTTGAGACATGTCCATTCTTTGAGACTTTCATGTTGACAGTGTGGTAGGGCTCAGTCCTCCAGGACTTTACCTTCTTAGGAAATAGACCACCTTTTGTGTTGAGTTATTTTAGAAAGTCTGATGCCCTAGAGGCTCCATTATCATCCATTCTAGATGGAATAAGTCTTGGCATATCTTGGTCCAGAGTGTCTTGGTTGCCATTCACCTGCTGCTTTTTAAAGAGGCCTACTGAAACCAGCGGGCCATCGCCTGTAATGGGCTTCATTATGCTCTGTCTTCTGACTCTTAGAATTGGATACCAAGATACACATAATCCCTATTGCTCAATGTTTTATTTGCCAAAACAAAACTTAGCGCTGATAAAACTACCAGGTAGGTCACTTAGGATTGACTTTCTGTCACTTTGCTGGAGAAGCAAATTTAGTGAATGTTCAATTTGGCAAAACCCTATTTCTTGTACCTATATGCTTGTGTAACTTTATGAGAATCCAGAGGCCAGAATAAAGAAAACAGCCTAATATTAAATAAGAGCTAAATGTGAATTTAAAGAAACACTGTCAGCCGGATTAAAACAAAGGTCTGATTACAACATTTAATTACCATAATTTAGTAGTAAACATCCTTTGGCTCCAAGTCCTTCTCCTGAAAAGCCGCCATTTGTTTGTCAGGATACTTAAAATAATAAGTCTTTGTTTTCACAGACCTTGGGTTTATTCTCAGCCACTTAGAAAGATGTGTCAGTGTGCTTGAAGCCCACAGACATAAAATGCCCAATTTCTCTTGGCTTTCGCCTGTTGGACATCTCCAAAGAGATCCGCCAAGCTGCTGTAGCTGAAATGTGCTTTTTAATTGGCACCGCACCTGCAATCAATTAGCAAAGCTTCAATTACCCAAACCAAAGCCACCCACCCAAAGATTAATTTTCTGCTCTATTTCCTATGAAAAACATAGCATACTTAGCTCTGGGCCTAGTCCTTCAGTGGAGTACGTTTTAGACATATAAACTATATTGTTTTCTTGTTAATTGTACTTGTTCCTTCAATTCAGCAGCCTTCCCCCATAATATCACGCCTACCAGTTCTTTCAAAATTGTTCTTTTTCCGTTGTGTTGTTGCCTTTCCAAAAATGCTGAGCACACAGAGAAAAGATGTTAGTTGGGAACTTTTCTCTTGAAGTACAGCTTTCCTTTACTGAAGATACCCAGTCCTTTGGCTACAGGACCTAAGTTCCATAACCTTAAAGCTTTGAGTAATGCTGTCTGTGAATTTAATAGCAGTCATATGTATTAGTTCCTAATTGTCTCCTGTCATTGTCCCCCGTAAATACAAAGATTTCTACCACCACTGCCCTCCCCGCTTACTAAAGAGTCATTTTTCTGTTGTGTTTCTCAGAGAAGGAACAAGCAGTAAATCGAGCTGGTATTGTTCAAGAAGATGTGCAGCCACCAGGTAAACTTAACAGTCAAAACGAAGTCCCGGTTGTACTGTTGTGTTGTGGGGGGTTGTGTGTTTGCTTTGCAATAGGAAGAGAGCTTTTCAGTTTAGAAGCTAGACTGTGATCGTGCTATTTATTCACAACAGCTGCTTTTTCATAGGTGCCACCCCAAAATTGAATATTTCACTTCAGAATATTTTTTGCAAGTTTGCACATTTCTCTTTTTCATTTGATAAGTGGGCATAAAAAAGTCATGTGTGCAGTTAAATATGAAGCGTGAATAGCTGTTTTTCAGACTTATTTACTAAGCGCGCTTTTAAACACTACACTCATGGGAAAATACTGTTTACTCGTGAGCTGTTTTAATTGATGCAGATTCTGCTTTACACAAAAGCTCAGAAGTTCCCTTTATGGCTGGATGGTTAGTTACTTTGAGATGATCCAAGTTGGCTGAGAATGAGTGGTTTCCAGCTTTTTCCAAACTCTTGTAATCTACGGCAACATTCTTTTTTATTTAGTTAGTTTTTAACTGGGCCAGATACATACCTTCCTGTGGTGGAGCAATTTCTGAGCCATTTAAAAGTCTGCCGTGGCTTCGCAGCCATTCGTTGCATTCCAGGGTCCCGGCAGCTTGCTCGCACTGTCTCATGCTGCATGTCAACGGCACAACTCAATTCTGATGTCATTTTGTTTGTTGGAGGTGGAGGGAAGTGGTAGGAAGTTTAAAAATGAATCCTATTTTTATTCATGTTTTTTTTTCCATAGGGTTAAAAGTGTGGTCTGATCCATTTGGCAGGAAATGAGAAGGCTGCCACCAATTCTGATTATGAAAGTAGACATCTTCATGCTCCTAACTGCAGCCAGTCCAATAAATCACCTCTATAGAATGATGGCTGGAGAAGAAAACTCTAATGCCACAAATAAGAGTACTGTGCACGAGGATTAATATTTCTTTTCTTAAGGATCAAAAGTACCCTGAATGGATTACACTGTTAGGAAGGTTATCGTGATTTGGTATGCTTTCTGAAAATGAAACTGTCTCACTCAGATGTGTTTGGAGAAGACTTACTCATTATTCAGTCTCTACTGCTTACCTAACCGTGCTGTGAGATGAATGTAGAGACTTGGGAAGATCCTGGTTTATTTTGCCACCTTCCATATGGGAAACTGCAGTGAAAAAGCACCTTGCGGAGCAGCTTCATAGGGCTCTTTGAAAATGTTAAAGTTGACAAAACTTTTTACAAATAATCAATTTAGCTGAGCTATCTTGTCAGAGGTTGCTGTGTGTTGGAAAATAAATAAATATGAAGCAAGTCAAACTAAATGGGAATGTGTGCATAGATGAAATCGTGTTGGATTAACAAGTGAAAATGTGTATATTAAAATGATTTATTTTCACAACGGTGTAAGTTTTTTTGCAAATCCTTTCTTATGGACTCGTTAAATTATACCAAGAAGTACTATTTGACTAGATTATATTTGACTAGGTATTTGACTGTGTAGTGTTTGTCAGTTTGTAAAAATTTTAAAGGTAAATAGCAAATCTGTTAAGACAAACACTTATTGAATGTGATTCTCTACCAGGTTCCTCACCAGGTGCTGCAAAGATGTGCATAAGAATACTCATTTCTCTCTAGCGCTCTGTCTGGCCCCTTCCTAGAGTCTGTGCTTTTGAAGAGACATGTCTTTTTCAGTTTTAGATCCCCCAGAGTGCTTTGCATATTACTGTAGTCTCTATTTTTTAAAATTTATTTTATTTTTCAATTACAGTTGACATACAATGTTATATTAGTTTCAAGTGTACAACATAGTGTAGATATTTAGGTAACTTACGAAGAGATCACCCTGATAAGTCTGACAGCATACACAGTTATTACAGTATTATTGACTATATATTCCCCGCCCTGTACTTTGCATCCTCATGACTATTTGTAACTACCAATTTGTACTTCTTAATCCTGTCCATTTTTTCACCCATCTTCCCAACCCCCCTCCCCACCACATCTGGCAACCATCAAAAAGTTCTCTGTATTTGTGAATTTGTTTGTTTTGTTTGTGTACTTATTTTGTTTTTTAGATTCCACGTATGAGTTAGATCATACAGTATTTGTCTTTTTCTGTTTGACTTATTTCACTTAGCATAGTACCCTCTAGGTCCACCCATGTTGTTGCAGATGGCCAGGTTTTTTTCTTTTTATGGCTGAATAATATTCCATTGTGTATATGTACCACCTCTTCTTTATCCGTTCGCCTATTGATGAGCACTTAGGTTGCATCCATATCTTGGCTATTGTAAATAATGCTGCAGTGAACATATGGATGCATATGTCTTCAAATTAGTGCTTTGGGTTTCTTCAGATAAATATCCAGAAATGGAATTACTGGGTGCTTTGTCTCTTGTTATATATAGCCTTTGCTTTAAAGTCTATTTTGTCTCGTGTAAGTATTGCTAACTCAGCTTTTTTGTTGTTTCCATTTTCATAAAATGTCTTTTTCCATCTCTTACAGTTCGTGTTTGTCTTTTGATCTGAAGTGAGTCTCTTGTAGGCAACATATGTGAGGGTCTTGTTTTCTTGTCCATTCAAGCACCCTATGTCTTTTGATTGGAGCATTTAATTCATTTACATTTAAAGTAATTATCGATAGGTAGTTATTTTATTATTCATATTTTTAATTTTTTTCTTCTTAAAGCTTTAAGTCTCTTTAACATTTCTTATAATACTGTTTTGGTGGTGATGAACTCCTTGACCTTTTTCTTGTCTGGAAACTAGTCTCTCTTTAAAGATAGGCTGCCCGATAACATAATGTTATTATTGTGAACTGGGAGTTTGCTAATAGACAACTGGCACATTATGTCATTACTATCGAAAAGAAATAAGATTGTTCCGAAACCAAAGTCATTATTTTTGGTAGTCATTTCCTAACATTTAATTGACTTACAGTTAACAACCCAATAAAAGATATTGACTCATTTTGGATATATTTGACCACTATTTTCCTTGGAGAGGACACCAGGAAGTTGCGTAACTTAAAGTCAGACATTCCGTGGGTGCTTAATTGAGATTTCTCTATGACTGAGGCAAGTGTGTGTACCATCTGCTTTGGAAGATATCCAGGCCGAAAGGACTGTGTCTCAGTGTCATAGAGGAGAACTTTGGGGCCTTGACTGCCTGTTCGTCAGATGGAACAGGCTCAGTTTAGTCTCAGGAGTGGGATCTTTGTCCCGGCCTTGACCCTGCCCTTGGTTCACCTCTTTGTAGAGATAAAGGGGCCCTCTGTTCTGCTCAGCTGCCTTGATGTTTATAGAAGGATCACTCTTCGTGTCAGAGGTGTCACATCAGACACTGCTGCCCACTCTTGACAAGAGCCGGGTTGTAAGGGATGCTACTTAGGAGGACCAAGGTTCTTCCAGTCCATCTGTTCCGGGTATGCCGCCAGGATGCTGAGGAGAGCACTCAAAGGAAGGGATCTTAGTCAAATCTATTTAGGAAACAGAGTTAAAGTTAATTAAGTTTATTTGCTTCTACTTTGATGATTTCCAAGAGAGGCACAACATTTCCCAAATGTATTTGATCACAGAACATTTTTCATGGATTATTTTCTGAGACTAGTGACCAACAACAACCTTTTGAGGAAATCTTCCTCCAGACCTGTGGTTCTCCAAATTTTTGGTCTTAGGACTCTTTAACACTTAAAAATATTTGAGAACTCCAAAGTGTTTCTCTTTATGGGATTATATCTATAGATACTATACTAGAAATTAAAAAAAATTTAATATTAATTTGTTTAAGAATTCCAATAACCACCCCATTAGGTTAATATGACACATTTTTGTATTTTCCAAGACAAATAATTTGAAAATTTCTTTAATGCCCAGCCAAATAGAATATACCTAGATTCTACATTCGATGTATTGCTATATCACCTGTCACATGACCTCTGGTGAGAGTAAAAAGGCAAAAAAGCTTTTGCAGTATGGTAGAAACAGTTTTGACAGTGCCGAGCCCCTGAAAGGTCTCAGAGACCCCTTGAGGTTCCTGGACCACACTTAAGAGTCTAGTTCCCCTCCACAAACCTTGGATTTAGACCTTTGAGAATTGTGTATCTGGTTACATTAGTTCCCTGAGAGAGTTGCTTGTAGGGGACTGTGCATGCCTGTATTGCAGAGATTATAAGGAGAGGTGAGAAACATTTCTTATTACTGAAATGAATTTGTTAGATCCTTTATTTGCAATGTCAAACAATACCCTTTTTAAGGAAGATTCATGTTGACATTTTAAAAATCTCAGAACCAGAAATAGCCACATTGCTGAACAGCTGGTACTTTTATCCTGCAAATATTGATTTGTGTCACTTATTTCTCTCTTCGTATTGGCTAATAGGAAGCTCGTTTGTTGTCCAGCTTTTTAAAAAGTACCTAAGACCTTGTGGAATGTGTTTGAGCCATTGTATTCACTTCATCCTTTTTCCCCCTGATCTTCATTTTCCTTTCTGCTCTCTTACTTCAGTTTTCCATCTTACATTGTACGTTAGACCCCTCGTTTTAAAATGAGGCAGGACATAAACAACATTTATTCAACTGAAAAAATCTGATAAGGAAAAGGAAGCAAATTTACAAATAAGATTAAAATAATATGGAATATTAACAGTACCTTTAAAAAGATTCAGAGTATCTACTGACACTGGACATTTGTCTTGCAGTTCTAGTTATTTATTTAGCAGAAATGTGTCCATAAGTTCATCGGAATACATGTATTAGATTGTTAACAACAGCCATGGAAACCAGTCAAATGCCATCAATGTTAGAATGAATAAATGAACTGTGATATGTCGCAGGATAGAATATGATGCAGCAATGAGAATGAGCAATACAATGAATCTCCGAAAAGATGCTGAATGAGCAAAGCCAGTTGCAAGAGTAATGCTCTTTAGATTCCATTTAAAGAATAAAAACGGTAAACTAAGCCAGACAGAAGTCAGGAAAGTGCGTAATCTTAAAAAAAGGGTGTGGCGTAGGGTGTGTGTTGTGGGGGAGTAACTGGAAGAGGTACAGGGGTCTTCAATGTGCTGATCAATTCTGTTTTTTGATCTGGGTGCAGGTTACATAGGTGTATTGAATACTCATTGAACCACACAAATTTGTGTACTTTTCTAAATGTATAACTTCAATAAAGTGTTTAAAAAGGTGTAAGATTGGCTTTAAAAGAAAAAAAGTTTACGCTGCAGAGTTTTTGGGGAAGTTAGAAATACCATATGTAAGGTGCCTCGCAAGCATCTGGACCATGGCAGGGGCCTGACTAATGAGATAGCGGATTATTATTAATGATAGCTGATAATGATTGTCATTGATGGAATAGGTGACATTTGAACAGAGTTTGAAGAGTGGGATTCAGACGCAGTGAGTGACAAGGGTGAGGAGTCAACAAAGCTAAACTTAACGTATTTGAGAGATGGTGTAGCTTAGATGTAGGTGTGGGAGGAGACCACTGAGCCATGGGCGTCGCCTGTCCTGTGCCCCTCTGGCCCGGGCTTTGTATACAGTCGGCACTCAGCATTTGGATGGATCCAGTGATCATTTGAAAGAATGAGTGAGGGAACAAATGAAGGGAATGGTAGTTATGACCATGCTGTGGGCACCCTTAGATGTCAAGCTGGTACGTTTTACTTAATTCAGAGACATAAAGTGCTGTAGCAGAAAGTGATCTGAAAACTTTGACACAAAGCCAGGATGCTGTTTCCAGAGCAGTGCTAATCGTAGTCGTGGCCAGGGGAGCAGTGTGAGCCTGTTACCTGCACACGTGCGGTAAGTACAGAAACAATGAATAAGCATTTAGAAACGTTAACATGCAGTTCCACAGAGTAGTGTTTGTCCTCTGATTTAAAAAAAAAAAAAAAAATTGGGCTTGCATTTTGAATTTCTAAGAAAATTAATTATATTGTATTTTATGGGTGGATTGGTGGTTAGAAACATCTGGACTTCGCCCCGGGGAGTTTGGAAAGCACTGACCTGGAGGATGAATCTGAGAGGGAGTTCTTCGGTCCACGGCAGTCCGGGGCTCAGCAGTCCTGTGTGCTCAGGGGATGCCAGAGCTCCCTGCCCGCCCACCTGCGGTCCCGTGTTCCGATGCATCAGCAGCCCTGGGCAGGACTCCAGGGACAGGTGATTTCACTCTCCCAGACTTCACCTGGCACCTGCTGTCTGCAGTTGGTCTTGCCTGTCGGTAACAAAACACGCAGCTCATTGGCACCCCTGGTGCGTGGGAAGGCAGCGGGGGCACCAGGGAGCCTGCCGCGTTCATGCAGTGACCGTGTGCCTGACCAGGCTGCTGACTTCGCTGCTCTCTTCCCCCGAGCACGGTTCTCGCCCGGGCAGTGACAGCTAGGTCGCCCTCCCCAGGACCTCC